CGTGCGGTCGCGAAGCGGCTTGAATTTGCTGGTGGCGCTTGGCAGTTTTTTATGGTCAAACGAGAACGCGCTCGAGCTCTATGGTGTGAGCTGAGGAGAACCACGTTTATAGCCCAGGCGCTCATATTTGGGTTCTAATTGTGAAAAATTCCGAGGACCTGATGACGTAATGGGACCTTTTTGCGCTCTTTGCAAGTTTCTTCAAGCTCAATACAGCAATTTAGCCTTTCAGGGGGAGACATTATTCAGTGCATTTTTTCTATGGCACTCACTTCACTTGAGGGTGAACTTTATGAAAAGCCATTTCCAATCAAAGTGAGGACCCAGTTTCTGCAAAAGTGCCTCATTTCATACTTGAGTGTTCGGGGACTAACCCAAAGTGGAGAAAATTGTTAAAGGACCCATTTCCTCAATTTTCCTAGAGAATGAGCTCGCATTTACTGTCAAGTCGGGAAAGAAAGGGCCTTGACATCAGAAGCACTGCGGGAAACACTGACTAGGTCTAGGAGGAGATCGTAGGCACTCAAAAAATCCTGGAGGATTGAGGGAGTTAGCAAATGCTTGAAAGGAATGGCTATGACTTTCAGGTCTAGGTTTCTGCACTGTAGAAGGCATTAAGCCCCATCAGAACAGCTAAGAGGAAAGGATAACGGTATCCCTACCTGATTGCTGCAGAAGCTCCATTTTCCTTGACCTGAGCCATTTTTGATTTCACTCCGTTACTGTCCTGATAGAAGAGAATGAGCGTCTCCAGGTTGGGAACCTGCAAAGCTTGGCATTTTTCCAAGTGATCTAGTAGAAGATCAAGTAGATAGGTATGTTACCTGTTGAGCATGGACGCTACTGATCAAAGTCTCGATGGATTCTCGCCGGCCGGGCTCGTACACCATTCCGTCTGGGGGTCTAAAATTGATGGAGTTCAAGGAAGAAGATGCCAATTTTGAAGCAATACAGACACTTCTGAGGTTCAAATGTTTACATTTGGGTTGTTCATAAAATTAGGCTTACCCATTCATCATCTTCCTGATCGCGCCATCAATGAATGGACTTCTTACAGGACTGCTCCACGACGAGTCCTCTGCATCCGACGAGTCGGACACTGATTCCATCTGACGTGCCGATCTGAGACAAGTAAGCAATATTATGTTGTACTACTCAAACAAAAATAGCTTTTATGAGAAATTTATGAAAATAAGAGGGTAAAGGTGCCACATCGCACTATATCGTTCCATATGAT